GGAACAGCTGGAAATAATATTGGCGGTAGTCAAGCTCGTGAGTAGTGGCTAGTAATATTTATATTTATTAGTAATTCTGAAAAAAGTGAGCCTTGAAACGAGGATTTTATGGGCAAGAGTACGACATTCAAAATATTTTAAAATAGTTACCATCTATGAAGACTTGATTCTAGCAAAATATTTTCTTCCCTACAGAATCTGCCGGTAATCGTATTGTTGGTGATGGCAACACTGTTTCAAGTCTCGCCAATGTCAATCCTCAAGTCAATGCTGGCGTGAATCTTCTAAGTTCAGCAACACAAACCGTTTCTGGTGTGGCTGGCGGTGCTAGTGGTGGACTTTTAGGCGGCGTACTAGGTAGCGCAACTAGTGGACTTTTAGGTGGCGTACTTGGTGGTGCAACGAGTGGAGTTTTAGGCGGCGTACTTGGTGGCGCAACTAATGGACTTTTAGGCGGCGTGCTTGGTGACGCAAGTGGCGGACCTTTAGGCGGCGTGGTTGGCGGCTTGGGTGGTGGGGAAAACAACATCGGTGGCCAGCAAGTCTGTAAGTATGCGGGCGTGGTAAAACACAAACACAAAACAAGAGTGCTAATGAATCTTTAACATTCTAGTGAATAGAGGCTCCACCATATTGGGAAATAATAATCAGGTTTCCAGTTTATTGAATGTCGATCCTCAAGTGAATGTAAATGTTAATGCCTTAAGTAGGGTTAATCAACAAACCAGCGGCACTGGAGGTCTTTCGGGTACTGGTGGTGCTCAATCATGTAAGTTGAAGATATACTTTTTATTTATGTACTCAAAAACTTCGCTTGACTGCTGCCAAACTCTGATGGAGACAGCGGCATAGAACATACTTCTTCATAGCATTTGAGTCACAGGTTGCATATGCAGAGTGCATCACTTTAAACCGCCAAGTCACTAGGCTCTTACTGCGGCATGCTAAATCTTTAATGGTTGGAACACAATGGGGCGAAAACTACCAACACTATTAGAAGTCCAACCATGGACAATTACTTATGTATGCTGGGGCAAATATAGGCGTGTCGAGCAGATGGTAATCCTGTAGGGCTATGTCCTCCAAATCTGGCACTGACACTGGACCGCTCTTCGCCTTGCATGTTCCTTATTCCTCGATTGGCCTGCGAATCATCGGTCTTACCTGACTTGGGTTTTCCCAATTCAATAGTCACTCGCTTAGCGCCCAGCACGCAACTGCGGTTTAAGTCGCAACCTAAGCGCTGGCCCGCAAAACCAATTTGACCCCAATGCCAGTTTTGTTGGTTCCTGATCACGGTCGTCACCACCCTGTATACACACAAACACCATGTAGTTTTCCACTGGTGTCATACAGGTGATAAAAACGTTGTCACGATAAGAGAAAAACACATCTTGCGATGTTTTTCGTATTATCATTTCCCCCTATCTTCTTTATCATTGGTCGGGATAATTTTGAAGCAAATATATCTAAAGTAGGATTTTTGCTAATGTGATAAATCATCACCGATGATCAGTTGTTTTGTTTGCTCTTCAAGCTGGAGCGTAGTTAATTAAGTTAATTGAGTGTGGGCTTCGCTTCTATCGGTCGGCGTAAAAGAATGAGAAACTTTGTTGGGGCCAGTACGCGACAGCCCTATACCGCCTGGAAACGTTTACTTAGGGATGCTATCTTTAGACAAGTGGCGAAAAAGTGGTGCCAAAGCACAGATTCTTGCATATCTGAAGTAAATAAGAAATGCAGTATCTCTGAGGAGGGTCATTGCCTTATATGCAGGCATGGAGAACTGCTACGAATCTGAGGAGGAAGTTATCCGCCATGTTTTTTTTTTGAGGTGGAGGATGGACCGATAGGGGGCATAGGCATCTTCTTAGGCTCGTAAGTCCCTTTTGGTGGGTGTACTGACAGGTCACTGCCTGATTTGAATTAACGCAGTCAGATTAAACATCACGCCGCACTGTCTTCGTCGCGGCTGCCTGGAGGACGACCTAGGTGGAATCATTCGGATGCTTCCTCTTACACTGCCCATCTTTTGATAGACTGCGCCTTAGGCACCTGGATTAGCACTTTGTAATTGACTCGGAGGAGCTTTCCGGAATTAACATTCGTTCGCGACACGCATCGATTCTTGCTTTAACCTATCAGTCCCAGGCGGCAAACACAAGCGGGAAATACTTGTTGAAATTCACCTAGGAAACTCTTGTACACACGAACCTCTATGTGGCTTGCTAAAATCTTACCTAACCTAAAACAAATTCCTTGCATGTATTGACCAACATGAGTCGAAATTTTCATTTCAGAACTAGTTCTAAAATAATTAAAGGAGCCGGTCATGATCTTAAGTGCATTTTGTCTATCACTACACATATCAGAGCATATTCAAACAAGATCAGAAAAAAAGTGTGTCCATTTTCTTCCATAAAACTAGACTCCGAATTGGTTACGACAGTTTCTTCGCATCGTAGAAATTGGGAAAAAGGTTTCAAATCAATAGGGGGTTGAATGTGACCAGGTGGAATTTTCAGCAGCTACTATCTGAAACCGTTTCCCTGCTAAATCTTACGCCTCTCTCAACAAACAAACCGTGTCTTAGGTTTAACAAGACGTGATGGGCCTAATGACACCCAGAGGCTAATTTTGGTACTGAGGAATAATTTTGGCAAAAGCGTTTACAGACCCATGGTCTGTTTTTATTAACTAAAGTTTAACATCTGTCCGGTGCGGTTTGTTACTTTTCTTCAACTTTCCGGAACATAAAACCCAAAAGTATAGATCCAATGTCTTGTCAAATCACTTTTTCTGATGGACCTTTTTGCTTTCTGGCTTCATTGAAAACCACTTTACCCTCAATCCAATCACAATTTGACTCTTGCTTTAAAATAGGGCTGATGTAATATTGCCTTAAAATTTTTACTTCTCCGTTTTTGTGAAAAAAATTACTCAGTAGTAAAAAATGGCCTTTTATGATATCTACTTCTATTTTACAGCGGCGGTAGGAAGTTCTGGAAGCACTGGAGCTACCCGAGTTGCTGGCGGAAGTCAAACACGTAAGTAGAAGATCATTATCTAATGTTTAATGATTTCAAGCTTTTAACTTGTATACTAAAATAATTTTTTTTTTTAATTTTCTACAGTTAACAGCGGTACGGTTATACAAGGCTCAGGCAATGCAGTTTCCTCACTGGCCAATGTAGCGCCTCAGGTTGGCCTCGATATAGATTTACTAAATGCTGTAACTCAAACGGGCGGCGGCGGCGGTGGTGCTGGATTGCTTGGTGGCTTATTGGGCGGCGGCGCTGCCAATAACCTTGGAGGCCATTTACCTCCAACCCCACGACCAACTCTGCCTCCTACACTTCCTCCATTACCCCCGACACTACGTCCAACTCCACCTCTCACACTTCCTCCGACTGTACCGCCAACTCCCCCTACACTTTTACTAACTTTGCCCCTTTATCCTCCAACTTACCCGACTGCACTAAACGTACCTTATGCCTACCCTCCGCAACCACCATCGCCGTCCTACTTGGCACCACCTTTACCACCACAATTCCCTAAAGCTAACTGCTTTGAAATTACGGATTACGATCTAAATGGGAAAAAGGGTCAATCTCGTATAGTGTGTGTTCCACCTCCGTCCCCGCCAACACGTCGTTGTTTCCTCCGCCGTTGCAACAAATGGTCAAATCAAGCAGATACCAGCTGCTGTTTTGAAAACCATCCACATTCGCAACCACATGCACCAATACCCGCACCTGCGCCAGCACCGATTTACGAATCGCCACAACCTGGACAGATAGAGTCACCGATAAATCTAAGATACGATCATTTCTACCCTTAATGTGTTTTGTAACTCTATTCCGTTGAAAATAAACGCCGGTTTTCCTCCGAAAAAGCTCGTTTTATTTTATCAAAAACTCGACTTACATTTTAGCAATTGGCGTGTTGGTATCAATTTCTATTCAATTCTCGACAAGCGACGATAGGAATGTAAGCGTAGTAGTGGCAGATGATGGTATGTTCATCTACTCGGAGGACCTGCAGATGGGTGCGTCTTTTCATCTGCCAAACAACTGCAGCCTCTCTTAAGGTGAGATTCATTTCATCGAGAAGGCAGTTAGACTTCTACCTTATACCAGCTCCGTAGCTTTGAAGTCAATAAATTCCATAATATTTAAATCGGGGAGTTTATAGAAAAGCTTTACCGCATTTGAGCCTAGGCTTTTCTCTCGTCGGTCCGGAACCGGAACCCACTCAAGGAGTTTGGGCTGTCAGAAAGCTCAGTTGCACGTTAGGAAGGTTAATTTGAAGCTTTTATATGTTAGGGTTGAAGCCACCTAATAAGCTCTTAACTTGTGATTTGATACCCAAGGTAGTCTAGTGTCATGAGGAAGAATGCATGATTACTTTCTGTGTCGATTTCCAAATCTGGGAAAAAGCTTCTTCAGCAGTCTAGTACCTTGGGCTCAAATTCATGTGAAATAGGGGGTCAACCGCACAGTGCCATGATTTTTATTTCTATTGTCTTTTTATAGGAACCCTGGTTAAGGAAGTGTGCCTGCTCATTCGCAGAGGATAGTCAACAGTGTATCACAGTAGAAGTATGGCACTCTTCAAACGCTTTCTAATAAGCGGAGAGCCACTTCCAGACTCTTCGCCAAATTAGGCTGTAATCTTCAAAATGAGGAATCAAAGCAGCCAGTGGAGAGGGTCAAGGGCAATTTTGTGACGGACGGAAAGCAGGAACGCCCTCTTGACCCCAGACCAGCATCCATTCATAACAGGACACGGATATCAAAAAATTAACGGTCAGTAGGCAACACTACTGATGGAGGCTTGTTTGCGCAACCGGGTGTACTGAGTTCCTGAAAACGTTGTGCTTGACCTAGTCCCAAAAGATCTTTTAATTAACAAGTCAGCTTATACTAGCGCATACAAACTACGGGATTTAGAGTACTAGAAAGCAGGGTGCATTCCAAAGAGAATATTGAAGCTCTACCCACCGACTACATAATAGCAAGAAATTAGATTAACGCAAGTACTGAACGAAATTCCTAAACCGCAGTGACTCGATTCAAGAAGATAATAAATGCTTGCTGGTCGACAGCCATGTTCTTAAAGCGAAGTCTAAAATGGAAGCAGACATTTTCATTGAGCAACTCAAGTTCTCGCGTGTAAGGTGAAAATTTTTCCGATTTCCAGGCATCAATTCAGGCATACCCCTTTTGCTTGAATAGGTCGCAATCCGTGGAACATTGAAAGACGATTCTAAGGGATACTATTGCATACCTAATAGCGCCGCCAATAACAACATGTTGGCGCCAAATATTCATTTACAACGCTTTCTTCATAACAGGTACAACGTGAAACTACTTAGACTTTATTTATATCGCAGTGCCCGTGTGGCAAAAATAAAATCAAGTACGCGCCCCAACCATCAATTACACTGGCATCAGAATACTTGTCGCGCGTATACCTAGATGGAGAAAGCGCCCAAAAGGCGGCAATGAAAAGTGTGGCGCACATAAATTATGCGCTCGCATACAGAAAAACTTTCGCAGCTATGAAGAAAGATGGTTGCACCATAAACTATGCGTACATTCTTGAATATCAGCTAATTTTACCGCTTCTTTTCAACAACAGGAATGAAAGTGGAAAATTGTTGCTTTATTTTTCCGCACAACAGCCGCGTTGATGTTTTTATTGCATTCATTACAAATTTCATATTCTCTCCCCGTTAAATTATGTAGTTCAATTACTCAGCTTGGTGGTAATAACATTCGCCACAGTTGAGCGCCAAGTATACAAACAACAGGGAAACAAACAACCAGCGAAAAAAACAAAAAAGCTCCGCTTGTCTGATGCCGTTGGCTACCCAAACTGTCTTTGTTTGCCTCGTCTACTTACCTGCTTCTTTCATGTTCGTCGAGCGCGTGTCCTGTATTTTAAAGCAGTTTTGGGGTTTCCTTTAGTCTTCCTATTATTTAGTCATACCGCGCTGGTTTCCTTTATCATTTTCATATCTCCCACCAGCTATCTTTTTCCGTTTTCCTCGTTAATATAAATTTGATGCGCTTTCTATTGCTGTTAACTTTTTCTTTAATTACCTTTGCGTTAATTTTTCATTTCGCTTTGGGTTGAATTTTAAACATCTCATTCTTGTGCGGGTTGGTTTTATTGGATTATCTGCAAATAAATTTGTACACCGGGTTTTACTGTCGAAGTGCGGCTATGAAATATTTAAAACTTATTTGGCAGGCATTTTGTGAGAGGTCAACTCGTTTTACGTAGAAGGCACTTGAGACGCGCAGAGAATTTGTTAGTTAAATTTTAATTTGGTTAGAGTGGTGCTAAGACAATTTGGAAAGGGACAATGAAAATGTACAATGAGCTGATGAAAACACGTTCGTCTTGATGATGAACTCAGTTGCTGTGCTTCAAAAGGCGTTTGCCTTCGCTATAGCAAAAACTCCTGTCGATGCTTAATAAAATTTACGCAAATAAACCGAATTCTGTATTGTGGAAATGAATTCGTTTTCTCGCGGTATGTCTTCTTTTTCTTTAATTAGCACTATAACCGTTTGTCGCTTTGAGCCGAGACAAAAAAGCTTCGCCAGTTGCTTCTATCCTTGCAATTTTACGCGTGTTGTTCATCCATTGGGTCCGTGGGCGCCCTTGCTTTCCTTGTCCACCCATGGGTGCGGAGCTGAAGAACCTTTTCACAGGAGCGTCGTCATCCATGCGCAAAACATGTGCAGGCCAGCGATATTGTTGTATTTTTAGGTCCTTAACTATACCCATTTCTTAAAAACGCTCGTACAGCTCATCATTCCATCTTCTACGGTACTCCTCGTCTACACGAACATAGAATAGTTGTCTCAAAAGCCCCCAAAGCCTTTGTCAGACATCTTCCATGTTTCTGCGCCATATAAAAGGATGGGCGTGATGAAAAATTGTAGAGCGTGAATTTTGTTCGTCGAGAGAAGGCTCTGCTTTTCAATTGCCTACCGAGCCTAAAGTAGCACCTGTTGGCAGGAGTTAGTCTTCGCTTTATCTCCAGATTGACATTACTGGTGGTGTTTATGGTGAAACCCGGCTAAAAAAGTGCTTCTATATTTCAAAACTATACCTACCTGCTTTTTATGAGTTGCCGCTAGAGGGATTGAGTGTAGCCGTGCAACTGTAGCTCCATACCCAGAAGAACGGCTCACACCCCATTGCAGCCCACGCCGCACACTGTTGCGATTATATGGAGGCAGGTGGAACAAAGTCATTGTGACAGTCGAAAGTCATAAATACAAAATTTCACATCAAAGTGTGAGTACCGGTCCGTATGGTCTTTAAATTAGACGCATGTTTTAGAGAATTTTATTTAGTATTCGAATATGGTATAATTGGATCTTTTCGCGCGACTTTGCAAATATATGTAATTGTCGATTTTCTTAATTTACGAGTTTCAGCTTTTTTTGCATAATTTGCCGAAAAGAGTTTTACGAATTTTAAATTATGTGTAACCTTTGTTTTCTGAGAGTGGAACAAAACAAAAACTAATCAAAATTCCATCTCATTTGATGACTGGGGTCCACATTGATAGTCCGCGAATGGCGCATCGTATACCTTATCCTATTCTGTTCTATATTTTTCAGTCGTAGTTTGTGTAAACAGCTCATTACCTTACGTTTTTTTTGGATCAGTTATAAGCTCATAAACAGCCTCTTTACCCGGTCTTCGTGTCTTACACCCCTAATCTAACGAAGTCACAAAATTCAGCGCATCACTATTGTGATTTCCACTGCGACTCAATGTATGCCACAAAAAATATCCCGCTACAAAAAAAAATATTTAAATTTGTGTACACTTCCTTAGAATTTAATGTAAAATTTTTGTGGCAGTAGAAATCACAATTGTGATGCGTTGAGTTTTGTGAATTTGTCAAAATAGTAGGCGGGTAGGTCGCATTTGTGGTTTGAAAAAAAAGCTGCGTGTTCAGTTTCGAAGCGCAGGGCTACTTTTATATGAGAGCACCAATTACAGGGTAAAATTTTTATTAGTGCAAAATTTAAGTTACTGTGCTACTTAGTTACTGCGTTATGGGGTTACACTGCAGCCAACTTGGCACCAGTGGATAGACAACGAAACCAAGGAAATTCGCGCTGCAATCAAGTGCAGAAAAATCGGTTGGGGGTAGGATTATTGTTGAAGCTTTTATGTCTTGATCTAGCTGAAAAACAATTATAGAGATAATTAAAAAGATAAAGCAAATTTTCTTTAGAACACAATTCAATTCCAGACTTGAGATCGCATACCATATGTGTAATGCTCTCAATATCTATAAAATTAGTAGTTAGATTTTAACTTGTTAAAGCTAGCATGCTCCTTAACATTCATCTGCAAAGTGAGCATAAAGCTTACGGATTCGCAAGCAACACCAACTGGTGCATATTTTCAGGCGCGCAGACAAATGACTTCTCCGCCTGCCTATGTCAATCTCGTTGCTGCCAGCGTCAACGGCGCAGCTGTTGAAAGACAGCAGACAAATAGCCAAAAAACATTTTTATTAGAAGCGGTGAAAGGAAGACACAGAACGCGTTGTTGTTGTTCTGTCTTTTTTCTTTCTCTTCTAGTAGCTAGCGCTACTATTTTATAGCCACATGTACTCGTATTTGTATTCCTTGCAAATACATTGAACGTGCTATGAATTTTTAAATAAAATCATTACCTCCCTCAGATGGGATACAACTCAGAGAGACCAGAAAGTGAAAGCATACATCTAGGCGTTGTAACGGGTGGGGGGTGCTTCTTTGTATGTGGTACAAAGTACATTTTTACAGCTATAAACTGAAGTATAAAATGAAATTTGCGCCAAAAAGCTACCCAAATGAC